GATAAATGATTAAGTTGTTTTTTATCTTGTATTTCCTTGTATTTACAACAAAAGCTGAAGCAAATACTAACTCAGGGCTGCCCCTCCTTTCTCTCTTCTTGAGGGAATTTTCTCGGTGTAGTCCCTTTGGGCTTCTCATTGCCCAAAGTAATCTGAATAATCTTTGGGCTCTGAGTAATCTTTGCATCTCTATCTTGTATTTCCTTGTATTTACAACAAAAGCTGAAGCAAATACTAACTCAGGGCTGCCCCTCCTTTCTCTCTTCTTGAGGGAATTTTCTCGGTGTAGTCCCTTTGGGCTTCTCATTGCCCAAAGTAATCTGAATAATCTTTGGGCTCTGAGTAATCTTTGCATCTCTGTCACACAGTGATAAATGACATAGTTTATGCTTGTTTAATATCAGTTATGGACTGGGGTGTTTGTATCTTTAACCCTACAACTTTAGGCACCATGCATGCTATTTTGGGGTCTGTAGTGCCTACTGAAGAATCAGAGAGAGCACTGCAGCTGTGAATTGACTTAAACCAATTTAGTCATGCACAAGTACAGTAATGGGTTCCTTTTGATAGTTAACCAAGGTCCTACCCCCCAAAAATCTTTGAAGTAGATGAGAATTAACCACCCCCCCACACACACACACAGCCAGGTTATGACATAAATTTCAGAGCAAATTCTGTCACATACATTTTTTAAACAAACATTTCTTGTCCAAGAGGCCCCAAAAGATCGTACAACAAATTTCTGCAAACTCAGTGATATCCCAGCAGTTTGTCCTTTTGAGAGCTCCAACTCCCACTGTGCATCAAAGGCTCACCGAAGGAAGCAGCAGCAACATTCCAGGGGAAGGATCTGATTACCTTATTGTTAGAGTCCTTAGAGTCAGGCAACCAGAAGTTGTTCTAATCCATAGTTGAACCAAAGACCATTTAGGGCTCTAACATGACACCATTTTCATGGATAAAACTCAATATGCTTACAAGACTAGTTAGCTAGGCATCAGATGCTGACTGAGTTCTAAATAACTGAAGTGAATATAGTAGCCCATGAGCAATGAGACCATGTTGAAAAGAGCTAGCTAAAACCCACCGTCTGTGCATTCTTCATTAGGGTAACTTACTGCCTCTATAGTTGAAGCTTATACATTCATACTATTTACATGGTCTACGCTCAAGTGTTTTGAGGCAAAAATATTCAAATGCAAGAACCATAATTGCTGCTTAATCAATCACACATTTATCCATCTTACAGCTATTGATTTAACACCTACCCCTTGTCAGAAACTGTTCTGGACACTAGGGTCACAAAGTCAAATAAGATATTGTGTCTACCCTCAAGGAGTTTACAGTGCACTGGGAGAAACATAAGCAAAGTGATGATTATAGCATAAACTAATAAATGATAGATTAAGGGCACACCCAGAGTACCAATGAGATCCTAGAAAGGACAACTATATCATAATTCAAGAGTTTGTCTGATTTAACTTTTTAGAAGAAATGATTCTTGAGGTAGTATTAGAAGGCCATATGAATTAATTTAAATGCACTAAGTAGAGAAAATAATTTTAGATAACAATAGCAGAATAGGTATGAAAGTACAAAGGTTTAAAACCTCACACCATTTTTAAAACTCTAAGTAGTTCAGAATGGCTGGAGGGATGTGGGCAGTGTGCTGAGTATAGGCAGATGAGGTCAGGAAAACCAGATCATTCAGGTTGTATTTGTTAAAGTCAGGTGTTTGAACTTTTCTGAAAGATATGGGCCACCAGGGAAAAATTTTATTTAGGAAGTAATGTATATTTTTAAAAGATCATTCCAACATCAGTGTGTATGATGGGTTGAAACAAGATCGGGGAGGAGGCTGAGTTGATGAGGAGGCAGAATTGATGGGGGAGCAACACATAGGAGAAGTGGTAAGAGTTTGAACTAAGGCATAAGCATTGAGAATAGAGAAAGGCACACATCTGAAGGTAAGAAATGATAGGACTTGAAACTAAGTGAATGTAAACAGCGTGAGAAAAATCTAGAATATGTCAGAGCCTTGTGCAACTGCATGGATAGTGCTCCTCACAACTCACTGAATAAATAATGATTAAATAAATGCACAGTGGGCCCACTATGAGGCATTTATTCTTTATTATTTGGAGCACATTCAATAAATAAGTTTTCCTTACAAGTTTGTATAATGTTAAAACAAAAATGGAAGGCTAAGACAAGATTCTCATTATTATTATTACTAATACATCCCTGTCAACCCTTTGGATCTCTTTGCTCTTCTGGTTGGCTTGTGTTATACAGGCTCAGTACCTTCTATTTCATTAAACACTTTTGCTATAGATGCTGGTCAACCTAGTAGTGATTACTGTTTATCACAGCATATATTTTATTTTTGCAAGCACTTTAAACTATAGTCTCACAAAAGCATATTCAATAATCTGCAGTAAGCATAGCCTATTATACACAATTCTCTCTTGAAGTAATTGACAACTCAGACTGACTGAAAGTCAGAAGTAGTAAGTAAAATAAGATGTTTTATAGCTGTATGTTTTATAGTAAATAAAATAATGTTTTATACTTTCTCCATCATGCAAATATGTATTATTTCCATTAAAATATTGCAAAAATTTCTATATAATATCTTTTTTCTAATAAAATGTGAATTTTTCCTAAAAATTCTATAAAATTTTATTTATAAAGAATAGAAACATTAAAATAAATATATGCAATTCAATAGATAGTATGGCTAATGGGGAAAGCAATTCTGTACCATAACAAGCAAGAAACATTAAAAAACCCAGAGATCAATAAAATACACTTAATCATAAAATTCATGTCACAACATTACAACATATAATTTCCTATTTTAAAGCTATTTAAAAGGTATTTTAGAATCTCAAATACTATTAAGATAGAATTTCAAAAGTCAATTATTATATGTGGATGTTTGAAAATGTCGCTTCTATTAAATGCTCTTCTATAAAATTAAATACTAAATAACAAATTTTACTCTAACAAAGTCGAAGAATGCAGGCAGTAAGGCAAGTTCAAAAGCAGAATGATTTATTGTGTCATCAATTCTAATTTAATAAAATACAGTAAAAAACATATATTGGTTATGTATTTTCTAACTCTAAATGAAAGCAATAATGTAAAATTATAAAAAATTAACTATAAAAGTTACATTTCATAAGTAGAGATACTTCTTACCAATAACCACATATAAATACTTACATATAAAAGGATGAAAATTTATATTAACAGCATATTGTCACATTAACTTATTAAATCCCAGAAGTATCTCCCCATCTTTTACAATATGACAACCTCTACCTTTTCTGATTGTATTAACAAGAAAATATGAAAGGCCAATATTAAGAATAGGTTTGTAAGAAGAACTAAGTAAAAATTTATCAGTGAAAAATACTTTTTGCATATTGAACACCCATAGTATTAGTCACTTTAACACAAGAAAAATTTGTAGAGTTTAAGATGTCTATAGTTGGATGATTTTTTACATAAAAAAGTGACTTAGAAATAGTGTTATAGACTTATTTCTGCCAAAATGTCTCCTGGCATATTGTTTTAATGTCTATAACAATATTTTTAAATGCCAAGCAATGAAGAATTTAGCCAATGAAAATAGCACTAACAGGTTTGTACATTTTTTCCCTCTGATATATTAGTAGTAACTTTTAGTACATACTCAAATCTTGAAAAGTTGGACTTTGAATTAATTTGGTTCATACATATCACACTTCTAATAATGTTGCCAAGTACAGGTGGATGAAGTGATGTGCCTAAAGTCATATCCCACAAAACGTGTATTTTCATTTTTGAACCACTTATTTTTCTCAACCATTTTTTCTAATTTAAGCTATATTAACTTATAAAATTTAAAATTGTGAACTTGGGAACAATCCATTAAATTCTCTCAGAAGAGAGAGTGGGGCAGGGAAGGAGAGGCAAATTAATGAGACTGAAATAGTTCAACTATTCAGTTGAACTGAATTATCTGTATTTCCCTGGAGAAGTGAGGAATATAGAATTTAGAATGATTACAATACATGTAACCAGTAAGTAACATATATTTTAGAAGAAAAGGTTTCTATTGTTCAGTATATCAAAAAGAAATGTTCAGAATATCATATATTCATTTTAGGAATCAATTTTTTAAAAATGCTATGGGCAAGAATTACTAGATTATCCCTTATATGCAATAATGCACTTTTTGAGATCTTTAATCATCTAAGAGAATATTTTATCTCACAATTGTATTATTTCTAGCTAAATAATAATTCTATACAGATAATAAAGATTGCAGTTAAAAACAGAATAAAAGAACAAATATAACTGGTCACCGGAATAACTACATTGTGTTCCACTGACAAACAATAGTACATATGTTAAAAGACAAGAATTTTCAAGACAAGTCAGATTTTAAATGTTTGTTAAAGAAAACACCTATAAATCACACTGCTTGAAAGATTTCTCTTACATATACTTTAATTTCTTTAACATTTTCATATGTTCAAGAAAAGTTGAACTATTTTAGTCTCATAAGCTTTGGGCTCAATGCCAATTCATCAAATTGAGTATGGTGGCAACAATATTCTTGGAAAGAGGTAGCAAAAAAACAACGTGAAAGGACAGGAAACTTGGTTATTATATAGATGCTCTCATATAGTTTGATGCAGGTGTGACTTTCCTATTGAGGCTAATAAAAAATAATGATCTTCGAAATATATTCATGATAAGTAATAAACCAAGAAGACATATCTTTGCAAACACATAGACAGGTGAGCATGCATACTTGTGCACAAACACATCACTATACTTATCTTTCTGAATATTTCTCTTTCTAGATCCAACTTTTCTGAGCAAAAAAAAAAAAAAGGGTAAAGGGAATCCTAGAAAAATATATTCCATAGTTTGATCATACTTCACATTCAGTTCATCTCTCCTATAAAATGCTTAATGCTAATGACATATGAATATATTAAAAACTAAATCCCCCATGGAATGCATAAGATGTTAATAAAATCTTTGTCATCTACTATCCCTATACTTAGACCTTCATAATAATCTTCAAATTCACCATATGAAACTTCGTCAGACTTGCTGCAGGCATCTTTTAATGTTTCTAGAAAAGAAGATTTGATTTCTTCCTCTGTGGACTGGCCTGTAAAACAGTACTGACTATAAAACAGTTTCTTTAAAGGTTCAGTAAAATGACTGATGATAATAAAGGAATACTTAATCATCTTTGAAATCTTATATCAAACTACCCTCCAATTTATTTAATCATGAACTAGAATTAATTCATCCCATTAATTTGCCATCCCTTCCCTGCCCCTCTCTCTCTTGCACCGATCTATCCCCAGGATCCTAGCATAGAACATGAAACAAAAATGAATTATTTTTTAATAAGAAAAAATAAATTAAAAGATGAAAGGAAGCTATAGAAGATGGACAGATGATAATTTTAAAAGTTTAAACAGAGGCCCATATGCAAAAGCAGAAAAAGTAAAAAGACTTCTGTGACCCTCTAAAACATTTTAAAGTCAGGTTATATTTTAAATAACGGGCTTAAAATGGGAATACCACCGTAATCATTTGTCTAACAGCATGGGCAAGATTAGAGTAAGAGTTGGATCTTTTTCACAAACTAGAGGTTCTCTAATGAACTTCAATATTTTTTTTTTCCTTTTTGTCTTTTTTCGTGTCCGGCAACGGATCGCAACCCTCAGTGTCGCGCTGGGACCGGACCGGACCGGCAACGGGATCGCAACCCTCGGTGTTGCATCCGCACCTTGCTCAGCCAGTGAGCGGGAACCGGTCTGTATGTGGGATCTGAACCCTCGGCGGGAGCGCCTCCGCACTCACCGGGCTGGCCCATGAACTTCAATATTAAAGATTGTGAAGTGCCTTTCAAACTAAAGAAATAAGATCTACTTCTTTTATCAAGAAGTTTGCTGTCTTAAAAACTTACATGAGAAATAGAAAACTTGCTGTCTTAAAAACTTACATGAGAAATAGAAAACAAAGTAATTGTTTTATTAAAAAACAAGGTATTCATAATGATTCAATTATTTGAAGGACAATAATTATGCTATGTAGAGATAGTAATAAATAACAATAAAGAGAATTTGTGATTAAATGTTAGTCAAAGCTAAAAATTAATCAAGATCTAATATAAATGAAAATATAAATTTCGTCAGCACCACGCTCACCCAGTGAGCAAACCGGCCATCCCTACATGGGATCCGAACCCGTGACCTTGGTGTTATCACCACACTCTCCCGAGTGAGCCACAGGCCGGCCCGAAAATATAAATTTTGGCAGGTGAAATTTCTCTCTCTGTTTGCCACTGATACTTTTAAACAGATCAGTTTTAACAGAATTTTTTCCTAAGAAAAACATTTCTTACTTAAATTTATCATTCATAGACAAGAATTTTATACCTGCTTTAAATCTTCCACCCAGAAAATGCCTACCTTCCATCATCTGTAACTAAATTTTCTTTCACTCCCCTTAGAGACCAGAAAATATTTACAGCAACAAACATTAGATTTCTAATATTACTGCACAGAAATACATTTGGGATATACCATTTTTATGAAACCTCAAAACACTTTTTTCTTTTTTTTTTTTTTTTTGTCTTTTTTCCGTGTCCGGCAACGGATCACAACCCTCAGTGTTGCCCCCGTACCGGACCGGGGACCGGCAACGGGATTGCAACCCTCGGTGCTGCTCCCGCGCCTCGCTCAGCCAGTGAGTGGGAACCGGTCTGTATGTGGGATCCGAACCCTCGGGCGGGAGCACCGCCGCGCTTCCCAAGCGGCGCACTGTAGCAGTGCGCCACCGGGCCGGCCCTCAAAACACTTTTTTCTGATAAATTACTGAAGCAAAGTAAAAAAGAGAATATGTTCTATAGTTTAAATTATATGTGGTATAAAAGCCTTAATTTGAAATTAATTATAAATGTAAACAACTTATATCACAGAGATGGCATGTGAATAGATTATAAGTTGTAAGATGGACAACAATAGGGGTTTTTCTACTTTTTAAAAAAACAGTAACAGGTTTTTCCTCTTTCTAAAGTTGTTTTGCTTGCTAGCTTATTGTCCTTAATGTGAATGCAAAGATGAAATGTGGAACTTCTGAAACTAACAACAAGAAGAACAAAACCATCATCAACAATTAAATGACACATAATAAAATTAAAACTATGCAAGCAACCTAATTAAGATTATTAGACAGGAGAAGACCAAGAGAAAAAATACATGGTGTTGAAATCAACTAATTTTGAAGTAAGTAAACTATTTGATTCTTATATTTAGTGCAACTGATTAAAGAGAAAGAAGCAGAGAATGACATATTTAAAGAAAAAATATACTGACAATTAAATAACACTAGAAATTCTCTTAACAGTAACTGTAGTGCATTTAAAGCCTTTGATAAGCAAATTAAGCTATTTTAACGTGAAAAACATAATTAAAGATTTGGAAGCCTGTGATGATTAGCTTTAATCTTTACAACCAATTCTACTGGGTTTTTTCCACTTCACAACTAAAAGTAATAAATAAACTGTATACCAGGGTTAATAATGACAAGGAACCAAAGTAATTACAGTGTTTCTTCTTTTAACATTAAAAAATAAAATTCTAAAATAATAGTATTCTATAGAATTCAATAGTATATAATTAAAATTATAAATTGGAATAAACTATTCATAAAAGTTAATCAATAAATAGTCATAAAAGATGGTCAAATAGTGAATAAATACATGAAAATATGTTTAACCTGCTTCATAACCAAGAAAATGCAAATAAAAATTTTTTTTAACCTCTCATATTGAGAAAAAGTTAAATTGTTGGCAAAGTTGTGAGGAAAGAGAATTCTTCAACTAACAGCAGTATAAGAATTACTGTACAGCCATCTTACAATATAATTTGAAAGTATCAATTAATATTTGAAATGTAGATATCCCAGTAATTCTAGGTGCTGATATCACTCCAGGGAAGTAGTAGAAAACAGGCCTAAGGAGTCACAAAAAAGCATATTTACTGCTTCATGGGTTGTACATATTAATAAGAAATTAAAAGTCTACCAATAGGAAATCTGGCCATTTAGCTCAATTGGTTAGAACGTGGTGCTGATAACACCAAAGTCTAGGGTTTGATCCCTGTACTGGCCAGTAAAACAAAACAAAACAAAACAAAAACAAACAAAAAAACTGGAGCCTAAAAGTCTACCAATAGGAGAATGACTAGGTAAATTGTAGTATATTGATTTATAGAAAGAATAGTATGCAGCAGATTAAAATAAGGTGGCTCAATGAGGATTAACATGAAAAGAGCTCCAAAGCATATTGCCAAGTGTAAAAAGCAAACCACATAACAATATCTATGTTCAGTGCACCTTTCATGTAAAAAAAAAATCATCAAAAGGCATTAGATATTTACAGAACATATACAGCTATGAAAATTCATAGAGTAGGAACTGAAATATATATATTAAATGATAATTTTTTCTTCTAAGGAGGGAAATGTATTGAAAAGGGGGGAGTTGTGGGGGTCAAATGCTTTCTTGTAAGAATGCATTTATAAATCAATTACGTAAAAAAAAAAGTCAGAAGAAATATAGTAAGAAATGAATCCCTAGAATATCTTTGAGAAATTACTGTATCCCCAAATTTTGATTGATATATGTATGCTCATTGTATGTATAGCTCCATCTCTAGAGAAGACATACCTTCATTCCACCTTACAGCCTCAAATATGAATAACTATATAAGCAGATATAGTAAAACTAATTCTGAAAACCTGCATATATAATTATCTGCTCTCTAAATCTACTCTGTTCTTTTTAATTCAATTTTTCCACTCTGTCCTAATCAGGAAATAAGAATTCTATCTCAATTGTAAATATCAAAGAAACAAATAAGTACAGACAATAGACCTAAGGATTTTTAAATGAATTAGGGCAAACGGCTCTGGAGTTTCAGTTTCAAAAAATAAATAATTTATTTCCTCCCTTAACTGCCTCAGTTGATGCTTTAAATTAACATAATTTAAAGATACTACTTCTGTTAACTACTTTTGTTAATGTTTTAGAAACTGCATGCACTTTGACTCATAATAATTACCTGAAATTACTTGAGGATGTTTCTTTGCACAATAGCATTTTCTTATGTCTGTAATTGGCACAATGCCAGTTTTGTTGAAATCCAGTTTCATAAAGGCCTAAATAAAGAGAGAAATGTTATTTTTTCCATGAAATCATTAGACATAAGAACTTAATTTTTTTATTTTGCAGTAGGTTATTTCTGAGCTATAAGCAAGATAGTTTAAAAGTATTAAACTGATATATAAAAGAATCATCATAAATACAGGGAAAAAGATACTAAAGCAAGATATTAGCATTCAGGTATTTAGTTCTACCATTTTCTAGCATTCTGACCTTGGGAAAGTAACATAATTTCTATTGCCTTGTCTTTCCTCCTCTGAAAACTAAAGAGTTGGGTAAAAGACCTCTCAAGTAACTTTCAGCTCTAGGATTCATATGAAACTGATGAATGACTAAAACAGATTGCCAGGAGAACTATTCTAATTCAAAAACTTGCAAATATTCTATCATTAAAATCAATAAGAAAGTAAAATACTTTTAAAATGAGTTTTGTTACTCTATTTCTCAAAATTTAACACTACCTTTTGAAATGCTAGTTGTTATATTGTTTTTCTAATTCAATGAAACTCTGAGTATCATAACATATCACAAAATATTTCACTGGGAAGAGCATTAGGTACATAGAAACACACACGCTACCCAAAGCAACACTTCATGTTTGCAGAAGAGTCAAAACTAGAATCAAGTTTGTTTATTTGCTGTATTGAGTTCATAAAAATTTGGTGCCTGGTGTAAACTGAATTGTGCCCATCCCAAAATTCATACGTTGAACCTTAACCCCTAGTACCTCAGAATGTGAATGTATTTGGAGACAGGGCCTTTAAGAAGATAATTAAGTGAAATGGAATCATTAGGGTCAGCCCTCATCCAAAATGACTGCTGTCCTTATAAGAAGAGAGTTAGACACAAACAACAGAGTCGGGGATAACCATGTGAGGACATAGTCAAAAGGCTCCATCTCCAAGCCAGGGAGAGTGGCCTCAGAAGAAACCAAACCTGCCAACACCTTGTTCTTAGTCTTCCAACCCCCAAAACAGTGAGAAAATAAATTTCTACTGCTTCAGTTATACGGTCTGGTATTTTGTTAGGGCAGCCCTAGCAAACTAATACAGTACAGTACTTTATAACTCTTCTTTTGTTCTCTATTACCAGTATCAAGATTTATAAGAGTCACCTCTAATTTGAATTGATACATAAACCTATTACCAGGACATGTAAAATACAAACAAGAGCAAATTTATAAATATTATGTGGTGAATTTGTTTAACTTAATGTTTTTATTGTGTCTCTTGGCCAGTAAAGAGAGAGATTTTGCTTTTTCTACTTGAGACTTATACCTGATATAATTGTTTATACTACTTTAGTCATAATAGCTGTGTTAACAATATTAGATATTAGATACATAGGTGTATAAACAAAAGAAAAAGCAATTGCATTGCTCAAAATTGTACTCTAAAAATGGCTACCAGAACTCAAGTAATACATAGTTTTCCATAAAAATCAAGGCTTCTGTTTTTAATCCCAATTTAACATAATGGTTTTAATCTTCATTTTAATTTAGCATGCATATTATGAAAACCAGTGAAACATCATCCTAAAATAACATGTATTCAGCATTGAACCAGAAAGCCACAATGCTAAGAATTTTATATGTATTATCTCATTCAATCCTTACACTACCTCTATGAAATAGGAAACTGAGGCTCAGCAATATTTCATAATGAATATAGTCATATAGCTAAAAATTTATGGAGGCAGCAATTTATTGAACTACTAATTTCTGAGCCAAAATTTGGTTTTAATTTTATTTTCCTTTTATAATATTTTTCTAAAACACATACATGTTATTTTGCTTTATTGTGTGAATCTGTATGCATATATATGCTTTATTGTGCAAATTTGTATACATATGTGCTTATTGTTTTGCATTTCACTAAACCCAACATACCTTACAGGTAAAAAGATTTAAAACATTTTAAATGGTAATTCATTAAAGTTTTTATATAATGAACCTAATAATCTATTAAAGTAACAGTTTAAAAGGTTACTTAAAGTTACCTTTCGAACAAATGATTTCCTGTATTCGTTCATTTCACCAATAATGGCACGTTTGAATTCCCCATAATCAACCTTACCATTGCCATTACCATTGCCAATCAGAATTAGCCACGCAGACTCAAAATCCTAGAAGCAATCACACAGAGATCACTGTTACACCTTCGAGTTATATATGGTCACAACAAAGTCAGCATAGTCGCATTTTGTTACATCTTTTGTAGCCCTAGGTAATTCAAAAGTTAACACACAAAGCCAATGAAAGCCACTACAAAAACTATTTAAAGTAACACTCTGGTGAACAGTTTCGTAAAGTTAGAACCATTTGGGAGTGGCATTACCTCACAAATTAATCTTTCATAAATTTTATTTTATTTTTAATTGGCAAATAATAATTATATGTGTTGATAGGATACAGTGTGATGTTTTCATACATGTATTTACTGTGGAATGATCAAATAAGGATAATTACCTCAAATATTTATCATTTCTTTGTGGTGAGAACATTTAAAATTCTCTCTTTTAGCTGCTTTGAAATATGCAATACATTATTATTGACTATAGTCATCGTGCTGTGCAATAGATCACTAGAACTTATTCCTCTAACTGAAACTTTATACCCTTTGGCCAGTCTCTCCTTTTCCTGTATATACACATGGTCTCCCTTTTTACACACACACACACACACACACACACACACACACATATGGTTACCATTTACTTGATTTTGAACATTGAATTATAATTTTAAAAAAAAAGATGACCGGTAAGGGGATCTCAACCCTTGGCTTAGTGTTCTCAGCACCACGCTCTCCCAAGTGAACCACAAACCGGCCCTTGAATTATTTTTTAATTTATTATATCTGTGACAAATTAAAAGTCACTTCAGGTTCTGGAATGCCTACAATAGCATTATGACCACTAATTGTATTTTTGCTAGTCTTCATGCTTTAAAGTATAGGAGATTCGAATGACTCTAATATTATTCCATAAATTACACTGAAAGATGTAATTTTGAATAAACCCCTTATGCCAGTTTGTTCACTTTACCATTTACTCTGGCAAATGCACTATTTAATAAAGAATGCTCTATTCACAGTGTCCCTGACAACAAAAAAAAAATACAGCATGAGTTTTTTCAAACTCAGGTAAATATATTTTCAATACTTTAATCAAGTTCTTAGCTTTAAATGAGAATGTAAATAAAATCTATCAAGGCACACTTGGCAGATAATACGTACTCAAAAAATATTCTCTTCCACTTCCTCCTAATTTTTTCAAATAAATTAATTAGAACAACTAAATTTCATGATGCCCTATCTACCCTCAATTCTCAACAGCCCATGCTTTTTTTTTGTCTATCATAATGCCTGTACATTATACAGACTTTAAATGTCTGTTCAGTTGAATTGAAAATGAGCTTGACGTTTAAAAATCCCAAGTAATATGAACAGGAGAAGACACATGTGCTCACTCAACTCATGAAATACTCGAATTAAAAGATACTTCTTGAAGCTTGAAAGAAGTTGTTTTTAAGAATTAAGTAAATTAATATATTGGCAACAAATTTATACAACTCTTTCTTTCTAAGATATGGTACAGAACGGCAAATAATATAGTTGGAAAAAATAAGGTAAATTCATTGATGGTATCTCTTCAGGGTGCATACCAATTTTAAAAAAAAAATCAGGGCGAATAACTATGCCTTTCACAAACATTTTCTAACTCTACAGTTAGACACAGGTTGGTGATTCTTTTGTTCTTATTTTCAAGACCCTTGTACTTCAAAAAGTTCTTGAAAAAACAGAATTGAGAGATAATACAAATCTTCATGAACTTTATGAAGTACCCTCATATATGCTTATCACTGCATGAGCAATTTTCAATGATATTACAGGCGAAAAAAGGAAATATTACTGAAAATATATGAGAAAAGGGGAAAGCTTACTCATATTTTCATAATATATGTTCTCGCTGTTAGAAGTTCTACGTAGTAAGTATAGTTTTTATTCCTAAATCCAATCATAAAAATTTAGCAAATCAACCAAGGGAAGTATTATGGTGATTCAGAAAAAGTATTAGATGGAGCCAGATTATTTGGGTTCTGGTTCCATAACAGTTATTAATTACTTGTGAGACTGCACACAAAGACACCAAGGTTTTCTAATTTTCTATTGCTATTTTGTTTTTTATCTATGAAAATTAGATGATCCTTATAATGTATCACTAGGTAGGTCACAAAATTGAACATCATAAGAAACCCAAAACACAGGTATGTCACAGCAATGATAGGCAACATTATATTGGCACAGAATTTTACAGTTGATAAGGCCTATTTCCATGTGATTTTCTCATTTGATCTTCCAAGCAACTTCAATTACAATAACTATCTCCAGATTGCTCAGGCAGAGCCCGTCAATCAGAAAACTGAAGCAACCTGTCCAAGATCACAGAGTTCAAGGAGGAAGGTTAGAACTTAAACCTAAAACATGTAAGTTCAATTTCCAGTGTTCCTTCTACAAAATACACTATATCTTGTAACAAGGCCACGTGAAGCATAAGAGAACAATGCAAGACAATCCTCTATCTGAAATCTTTGAGGCAAATGTGTTTCAAATTTATATACTTATAGAATAAAATCCAAACTACTAGTACCAGACTTATTTCTCTCCTTTCTTATCTTTCCCTTCCATCCATGCATCTATCCATTCAAACGGAGGCATTATTTATTCATCTCTTACCATATGCCAGATTATTTTCAAGGTGCTAGAAAAAGAGAAGGAAACCAGAAGCACCCCGGTCCCTACAAACTACTAGTACCAGACTTATTTCTCTCCATTCTTATCTTTCCCTTCCATCCATGCATCTATCCATTCAAACGGAGGCATTATTTATTCAGCTCTTACCACATGCCAGATTATTTTCAAGGTGCTAGAAAAAGAGAAGGAAACCAGAAGCACCCCGGTCCCTAACCTGATGGGACGTACCTTCTACTTGCAGGCAGAGCCAGACAATACTTACAAAATGACATAAAGAAAATAAAATGAGAAAATGGTATAGACAAAAACAAGGATCTGATGGGGGTGCTCCTTTAAGCAGGGGTGTCAGGGTAGTGCCCTTAGTAGAGAAAGATATTGCATTCGTGATGAGAAAATCCAACATACAAAGATCCAGTGAAAGGTTACTCACAGCAGCGGGAACAGTACGTGTGAAGATAAACCACACGCAATACGGGCAACTGGCCACACTCCCTTTCCTCTTCATGCTTCACCTGTGCTTCTCCTTCTTGTGAAATATCCATTGTCTATCCCTGCTGCTCCTCTTCCCTTGTCTGGCTAATTCTTCCTCATACTTCAAAACTCAGCTTGGATGTATCCTCCTTCAGGAATCCTTCTGCGATCTTCCCTCTCCTTCCCCATAACCTGGCTTGAAATTAGGTATCTATCTCATGTGTTCAAAAAACATTCTCTATTTAACACATATATTGTTTTATAATGATTTTCCTTTGGTTATGAATATCTTAAGAGTACAGAGCATGTTTTAGAGCTTAGTACAATGCCTGGTTGTTAGGTTCTTGGTAAATATAGGATGGAGGCATGAATGTTTGTAGCTGATTGAATTATGTTCCCCCAAACTCACTGAAACTTGAATTGTGTCACTCAAGTTTTATATATTAGAAACCTGGCCCCCACTGTGACTGCTAAGAGGATAGGAAATCCTTTTATGGTAATTGAAAGATGGAGCCTTGAAGAAGTGATTAGATTGCAGGATGTGCAAGAGTGAATGGATTAAAAATGGTGGTCAGGGACGTGGTTCTGAGGGCATTAAAAGAGGAGAATCTGTCTTTCCCTCGCGCGCTCTCTCTTGCTCCCTCTCTGCACTGCCATTTCACAGTGTGGTACACTGTGTCACTGTCGCCATCACCAAGACCCTCACCAGATGTATACTCTGGACTTCGGACTTGCCTGCCTCAGAAACTGTAAACAATAAATTTCATTTTCTTACAAATTACTCCGTTCCAGGTAGTTTATTATAAGCAACAGAAACAGACTAATACAACGTTGAAATTTTTAAAATCATCAGGGCTGGTTACCTGCTGGCTTAACACTGACAACAGGGCATAAAGAAGGAGAAAAATTAACTACGAAATTTCCAGTAGAAAAGTGAATAATATATTCCACCTAAGAATAATATATTATTCACTGTAGAGAATTTTGTGCAGTACATACCTTTTCAGGCACTTCTAAGTGAAATATTTCTAGAGCTTGCTTAAAATCTGTCTTATATAAAAGTCCATTTCCTTCTTTGTCCAATTGTTGAAAGTATTTTCCCAATCCAGTCAAAATACGAACACCTCTTTCATGTAGTTGTTCTTTCAGCACATCTGTTTAACAAGAGAGATGGAAACTAGTTGATCCTATGCACAAATGTACCAAATTGCAGTCGTCTCTCTTATAAGAAAATTAAAGTTGATGTAACCAAAATAAGGGATGTGAATATTCAACCAAATCATGTCTATGACTGACAAAAGACCAGAAAATAGAATTTGTTAACAAAGACGATTATATACTCATATAAAATCTCATGTAAATATATCAGAACTATAGCACCACTATGTGGTGAAAGTGTTGTATTTTAAATACAGGAAAATAATGTTTCACTTTATTAGCAAGAAAATAACCTAAATGTTACAAGTAAAATATTAGTTTTTATCGTCTAGACTTCTCATAAAGATAGATAAAGCTAATCACTCTCCCACCTTTAATCTCTTTCCTCTTTTTTTGTTACTAACTGAATTACAAAATATGCCAGACAAGTCACTCAAAAATTGTCAGTTCCCAATTTTTAAAACAGTTTGAAATCTTCAAATTATTACTTGTATGCTAAATAGTATCAAGGCTTTGGAGTGTTGTCCTATGTTTATGTATTTAAATTTAGTCTTTCTTCCAGAAACTCGAAAGAGATTCTATGCTCAGGTCCCTAGCATTCTCCTTGTAGCTCAGTTATTTCACTCAAGGCAGTTTATACCATATTTACTGAAGAAAATATTGTAACTCTGCTAAAGCAGTTATTAGATATAATACATCAGAGAAAAGAACAAATGTCACTAGATTCAATAGTGACAAATATGGTATTGACCATGATAGAATAGAGAAAACTATTTTTAATTAACAATGGCATCAAGAATATATAGGAGTTCTAAACCAATCTCATAAATTCATAAATTATGTAGATTTCTGTGTTTACTTCTGTAATATTTTCACATCTTTCTGGACTATAAAGTCCAACAAAGGAATTGTCTATCTGATCTTAGTATACTGCAGTGGTTATAAGACTGAACGCTAGAAACAAAATTTGTAAAAGTTTTGGTGTCCAAAGCCTATCTATGTCTCATTTATTACCTATGTTGACCCTGGACAGTTAATATGAGAGGTATTTTTATCTGCATTTTAAAGATGAAGAAAGAGGTGCAAGAATTTACACAAAGTCACACGTATATTAATTGGCAGAGTCCAAACATGAATCTGGCTCCCAGTCTAGCATTTTTTTCTTTTATGCTAGGCCCCACAAATCTCTTTAGAATATTACCTAGTGCATAAGACAAGTATCATATTATTAAAAAAAAAATTACTTTTACATTTTATTCAATACATCAGTAAAATCCATACTATCTGGTATTTTCTAAAATTTTTGAATCCATAATTCATATAATACTAGTTATTCAGTTAGGACCATTAAAGTAGGAAAAATCCTAAAAATATTTTAATAAATAAGTAAATATATTAACTTTTTAGAAAATATGACAATAGGAAATATAAATCAAGTGCCATAAAACAGAAATATCTGGAAAATATTGCTTTACTGATCACAAAGAATATGGTTGAAAATTAAAAGTCTGGGAGAGTAGAGTAATAAGACATACCTTGAATGGCCTTGAAGACCAGCCTGTCACTGGCTTCTTGACTGCTTATATCATCCTCATGTTCCACGGAAGCAGTTCTGCAATTGGCATGTACACAGTGGTGAAAATGTATTCTATTTTACAATCTTGAGTATGAAAACTGTAAACTATTCCCTGCTCCAGATTCAAAAAACCCTCAAACAAAGTTGGAAGAGTGCTTAGAGTGTAATGAAGTACCAACTTTGCCTGCTGCTTTGATCCTCAGCAGTCAAGAGCTAAAATCCTTAAAACCTTCTGAGAACTACCTGTAAACATACTGATTTTCATACCTTTTTAAATTTTCTTTTAAATATTTAATTAAAACTTTAAAATTTAGTTTTGCTTTGCAAACTATAAAATGTAAAAAGTTTATTTTAAAAAGACCCCCCCAAAATGCACTTATTTTTAGCAATATAGTAAACGACAAACAAACACAGACTTCCTTATAGCCAGTTTGTGGAATATTACCTCGAATGCACATATATTACACCAATTTTTGTTATTTTGAATTATACTTAGCCCCAAGAAACACTCAGCAAGAGTAGCGTATACGTATGTGTGTGTGTATTTATACACATACATATATATACACACACATTCTCCTGTGATTAATAAACTCAAATTCATTTAAAAGCATTCATTGATTCACAGCATTATTTTTTCACTATGCATATATTATCAATCTATAAACACTATAAGCATATGGGACCCAAGACTTTTCTTTCATGTTAAAAAAAAAATCACACTAATAATGTGGGAAAAAATTGTTATAATTGTTATAATATTGTACTGATAACCCATCTTCTGAAATTTATTGGGGAGCATTTGCTAAAATAAAAGCATCATCAGAAAATCAAATTAATAAGGTATTCTTAACTAACATGAAGTGGGATATTTAAAAATCTTTAATTGATTGAAATTGTTCCCACAAGAATAGACACACATAGATAAACCTTAACTAAAATCTAAATACTTTGTGATACAATCTCAATTTAAGATAATAAAAAATAATTTTCACTTACTTTCAGGGTAACAAATATTCATTTGACTTACTTGAGAGAATCCAAAGCTATTTGATCAATATTTGTGATTCGAAGTATAAGTAATGAGTTTTGTTTTATGCTTTCTGGAAGGCTGGGATGATGAGAACTCAAAAATGTCAAAGTTGCACCCTAAGGAAATGAACCAATGAATTACTTAAAACTAGAAAGTATGTAAGAAGTAAAATACTAGTAATACTAATTTAAAATATTCAATGTGACATGTTATACTTTAATAATGGTAAAAATATATACTTAGAGAATATTTAGAAACTACACCAGCTCCAGCTAATACTATAGAAAAATAAAGGAACTGATCTCCCCATCAATCTCTCAATTATGGCTACATAAGGAAAGTGTGGTATATATACACAATAGAATACTGCTCAGCCATAAAAAAGAATGACATCCTGCCATTCACAGCAACATGAATGAACCTGGAGAAAATTATGTTAAGTGAAATAACCCAGGCATAAAAAGAGATATTCTGCATGTCTTCACTCATAAGTGGGAGCTGAGAGAGAGAGAGAGAGAGAGAAAGAACAATCATAGTAATATGTTGAAATTTCAGAAGGAGAGAAGAGAACTGTGATTACTACAGATGGGGAACAGGGTGGGGGGCGGTCAGTGATAATTTGGTTAATGGACACAAAGAATGATGACATATTGTAATGATGAATATGCTAATTATCCTGATTTGTTCATCACATATTGTACACAAGTATTGATAGTCCACTCTGTACCCCACAAATATGTATTATCAATTATGATTCATAAAGAAAAAAAAAAAGATGGTCAAATATATGTGTGCATAAATGCATAGAACATTCTAAAAAAAAGGATACAGGAGAAACCCTTCATAGTGATCATTTTATGTTTTATGTTTCTTTGTATGTTTAGATAAATAAAAATCTAGTAAAATAAAAATCATAGTAAAATAAATACTATGAGCATGCTCAATAAAACTTTTATATATAAAAAATCAATTAGAACAATCTTCTATTTAATAATCCATATGAGCAAAAGAAGCCAGCGATATTAAGAAACTCAGATTTTTTTACAAGTATCAAAGGAAAATGGGCAAGTTAACTCACTGAAAATTATAACATCCCTAAAAATACAAACAGAGCTATTGGTCCACAGAAAGATGTACTGTGAATTGATGAACAGAGGTAGATTCATCACACTCTTTCATGTGGTCTTTTGTGACAGACATCACATAAATATAAAGCCAATTTTAACCTAATTACAGTATCGAAGCTTCAGGGACAAAATTCCTATCAAAAATTCTTAATTCAATCTTGGAAAATTATTATTTTAGTTTCTGATTGGCTCAAATAAACATGGCTGGTGTTAGGACAAATACAAATTAGAAATAAGATGCTTAATTCTTCCATTTGAATATAAGGGAAAAGATTTCCCTCCCCTCCTTTTTCTTAGAACATTTGCCTTAGAAAATTTGTAATTGTAATACAAGTACTTTCTCCTCTCTTTGAAATGTATATAAGTCCTTTTGAAAATTAGATAGGTCTTATTGTCGAGTTTATGACCTAAATCTTTCTCAAGGACCTGGGAACCATTCATTGAAATGGAAACATCAAGGGAG